CATGACTGTCTGATCTGCACTTTTGATGCATTCAAATGCCATATTCCATTCATTGAATTAACTTTGACTGCCCAGTCTGTGGTCCCTTTCGTATTTAGTCGCAAACCCAAAACTTCCTGAACAGTTCCTCATTCTACCGCGCACTAGAACGGTTGACTATTTGCTTCAACACCATTTTCGTGACGTCAGTATATAACTAGTATTAATTACTACGGTTGTCTTTGAAAACCACCTCCCGACTGTCATCGTACTGTGCTGTTAAGGGGTCAATGTAGCCCATTGTATATTGTTCAGTGTGGTACCGAAAGTGGTTAGACAGACCACCGATTCCTGCAGAACCACGGTCTTACTTCCTTTTTTGTTTATTGATTACGGTGTGAAATAAACTGTCAGGAATGGGAGGGCGCGGTTATACAAAGGCTGTCTGGGTAGATATAGAAAATGGGCTGCGGTGGCGGGGGTTGAACTCAGGACCTTCAGGTGGATATTTTGACGACCTTAACACTCGACCACTACTGCCTTCTGCGTTCATTGAGCTCAAATCTAGCAATTTTCAATTCATCGAAACAATGCCAATTTCCTTTTCTATTGTAACGGTCCAATAGCACCATTTTTTCACACTAACGGTAAGTTTAAACCGCATAGGTGAGGTGTCAATCTCGTCCAAGGAAATGCCCCCGGGGTTAGGGTTTTCATACCCTCATGACCGGTCTTAGTTTGGCCCCCGTTGATCTTTTTCCAATCGCTACTTGCCACGGAAAGCGTTGCTCGCCGTCGCATGCGTAGCACATGTCCCAACCAGCGTAATCTATGAAGGTCGAACACCTGCTCCAGTGGACGACCTCGATTACCTAAAACTCTACGCTTGACCTCAGCATTGCTCGTCCGGTTCCTCCACCAGACTCGTGCAATGCTACGTAGACAGCTTTGTTCGAGCACCGACAATCTATTTCTATCCAGTTCCCGTAATGACCAAGTCTTGGCGCCGCATAGCAGAACTGGCCGAACTACTGCAGCATACACTCGACCCTTCACAGACAGCCGGATGTTGCAACGGCGCCACAAATGCAGCAAGTTGGTGGATGCCAACCGACTCTTCTGTGTGCGAGCAAACACTG